GCCAAAAAATTGTCACAAGCCTTTACAGTGCCGTGGAAGTTGGGATCCCATTCCAAGCCCAGGGTCAAGGCCTGCTCTTTGGATGAGGCAGCAGGACACCTCTGGCCAGGGCTCTCCGGCGCAGTGAGGCGTCGCCTACAGGAGCCCAGCCCCGGGAGCACGGCCCTCTGGCTGACTCCGGAAGGGTGGAAGGAGGCAGCAACCTCTCTGCTGGGGCCTTCCCAGATGTCTGGCCCCCTCACAGCTTTTCCCCTGTCTTTCTTTACCCTGGGTCTAACAGGAGTCTATGGCTTCGGAGGCCCTTATGGGGAAACAGTAGCCACAGGCGCTTACCGGGCCTTCCGGGTGGCAGCAGCGGCAGGACACTCCGGAGCCTTCTCTGGCAATGACAGCAACAGGACTAGCAAGTTTCAGGGCGGTAATTATACCCAAACCCCTTTTCTTAGAGCTTCTGGCAACGGCTTGCTCCACTGTACGGTTTGGTCTGAGGCTTTCCTACTGACTCCCTGTCTCCCTAACTGTCTCAGCTTCCCTCTCTAGAGCCTGCCCAGGCTGCTGTCCTCTCTGCTCCTCCGTCCCTGCCACCAGCCTCCTCCTGCCTAGAAACCCTCCTCCAAACACAGGAGAGCCCAAAACCCGCCAGGGTGGGCTGGCTCCTGTGCCCCGAAGGCCAGGGGGGATCTGGAACCTGCTGAGCTCTGCCTCACTCTCTTAACAGGGATTTCCCAACATCTGGGAGCACTTGAACTTTCTGCAAAACCCCAGTGTTGAAATGACTGGCACTGACCCCTTTCTTGCTGGCATCAGTGCTGGCGTGGACACAGGAGTGGGATTTGCTTCCCTACCTGTGTGCCTGTTGCTCACCTCCTCTATGAGGTGGTACAATGGAAACCTGTTGATTTCAATCCCCTGATTAGGGTAAAATTTTCCTATGTATTTAGTTGTTCTTTCTGGCCTCTCAGCTTTTATCCTAAGAGCAAACATACCTCTAATGCTTCATGTGTGAATAACTGCCCCTGCAAACCATCTGCATTTAGAGCTGAAGAACTTGCACAGGGAAGTAGGAACCTTCTGGATGTAATCAGTAGTATAGTTCCCATCCTATTAACATTTGGAGACTAATTATGGCTGCATAAATGCTGTGGTTTGTGACCCTTTTGGTGCTGATGGTCTTACCAATAACATCTGGCTCAGTCCCACTTAACCTGGATTTCTTGAAGTACATATTATGTCCCAGAGTTGATTTTTAAGGGCAAAGCACAGGTATTAAGACATGAGCAACTTAACGGAAGCTATGGTTGCATTTTAGACAATTGCAGTTTTAGCTGCTTTCTTGGTGGTGGAGGGAAAGAACAAACCCACCTTGTACACCCAGATCAGTTTAAGTGCTACATTTTTGTAGCAACTTAGTATTAGTACAGCTAAACCTGCCTAGGAAGTTTTTTATTGCAAGTATAATCTGTGTGGTTTATGCTGATACTTGGTGTTGGCTAAAAAGTGCCTTGAACCTGCAAGAGTTACTTCTTCATTAGGAATGCAGGAAAAAACCAGTCTTCAACCAGCCTATAAAACTCCCCTTCAGTTTCTTGAGGCTTCTCTCAAGTGTTCTTTTAATCACTGAAACTGTAGCACTCAGATCATTTTTCTTTTCAGAATTCTTACCTATTTTTTAAAAGAAGGGTGGGGGGGATACAGCCTCTTGGAGTTTTAACACTTCTGTAATACTGCAAACCAAGCAATAATCTCACAGTATGCATAGAGGAAATGGAATGTGTGATGAGATCTGGGCACACCAGCTTTCCATTCATTTGGAACTTTACTGTGATGATTGTGAAGATCAAAGTTTGGTTTTGCTTTTATATGCAGGAGTCCAACCTATTCCTTCTCAGGGAGGGAAACTTGAAATTGCCGGCACTGTAGTCGGCCATTGGGCTGGAAGCAGACGTGGACGAGGGGGGAGAGGGCCATTTCCTCTGCAGGTGGTGTCCGTGGGAGGACCAGCCAGAGGGTAAGTGCCAGCCTGGGAACGTGCTTCTCACGTGGGATTCAATAGTGGGGGAAACAAGGGAAACAGGAAAAGGTTGGAGGCAGTCAAGCATGCACGCGACACATTTTGGGACACATAAGGTCAATTATACCTACTGAGTATTCAAGAAAAGCATTTACATTCCTTTTAAGAGGTTTTTAATCAGGTATAAGCATTTATTGCATACTGGTATTATTTATTATTATTTAACACAATATTTTTATTAACATATCTTTCTATGTATTAGACGAAATTCATACTCAGTCTAAGATACAGAGAAATATATACACACACAGAAGTTTGTTTTGCATGAGGAAATGACTTGGGGGCTTTCTCTTCCATGAAATCAATAAATACATTGCATTCAATTCCTTTCTTTGCCATGGCAGGACATTTATTATGAAGCATGATAACATTTTTAATAACTACATTATGTAATTCTTCTGTGAAGCAGAAAACACCTGAAGGACATTTCTAGGTTTAATAGTTCTCTGTTACAGTCATGATGGGAGTTGTGCTTGAAAGAATATTAATTTCTACAGCTCTTCCACTTCATCTCACTACAGCTGGGGTTACAGGTGCACAACACGTCTGCAAAACAAGCACTTTGTTACAAAAATAGCTAGTCCTTCTAAGTTTATATTTTTTCCGTAGGCTTGCTGGTTCTGTGCCTTACAGAACTCTTATTAAGGTTGTGTCTATTACAGGAGGCAATCCCAGAGTGACATGATTTATATACTATGTCTGTCTATAGTAAAGGAATGGAGTAAAGTAGCTGTATTTATGCCACCCTGAGCTAGGGAGCAGCAGTTTGAAAGACTTCAGGCTCCACTGCATTAATTTCTCTCTGTCCATTGATTTACTCCAATGTCCTGGAGCCAGGAAGAGCTGTTGGAATGCCTGTTCTAATGACTGAGTTGGTCTGAAACCCTGGGAGAACAGGAGGTGCTGTGGGGACAGGGAGGGGCAGGAGCAGTGGAGACAAAGATCAGCAGGTTGAGCAGCAGCACGCAGTGTTGGTGTGAGAGCAAAGCTGACCCTTCAAGGGCAGCAAATTTAGACAGGAATACTTAACTCTCTAGAATGAGATTTAGTTGCCAAAACAGAAGCACTGAGTGTTGTTTTAGGTGCTTCAGACAACTGTCAGGTGCCTGTGCAGATGTGATGGTTCATGGGACCCTGTGCTGCTCTGGAGCAGCAGCTGGAGACAGATAAGGACCAAAGGTGTGTGTGGAGGCACGAGGCTCCTCCAGGTATCAGTGGACAAAATAACCTTTCTCCTCAATGAAGTGAGGTTACTGGAGGGCCATCAGTTCTATTTTTCATGAGGATCCATGAACAGAAGAGTGTGGCTTCCTGCACAGCTGGGTGCTGCTCTCGGTGGCCTGCACTGGATGTGGGAAAGGTCCTGGGATTGGCTGCTGTCCTGCCCACAGCTGCTGTCTGCTGCAGCACTGGGTGGGGTCTAGGGCACCCTCAGGCTCAGAGCTGGCTCACATTGACACAGACGTGCAGGATAGCAGTTCCTTCATCTCCTGAAGAGGCAGTACAAGAATTTGTGCAGGACATCAGTCAGTAGCCAGGAACTGAAAGCCCTCCTTATCTGGGAAACATCACTTGAAAGGGCTTTGCTGCTTCTGTCAGTACCTTTAGGGCAGAGAAATATGATTATCCAATAGGAGCTTTTAAGTTGAGATAAAATACCTGAGGTTTCTTTTTATTGGCAGTATTGTCCTTGGGCAGTAAGGTTTGGGTGCAAGTTGTCGCCTCAAAAAGACAGGAAAATTGTCAATGCCATGTATTCTTGTCTCCATCAAATCATCACCAACGTGAAACCCTTCAGATGTGGAGTTACTAGAATTAGAGGGTAAAATGACTGCAGGCAGCTTACCTGTTATTGTGTCAGGTGATACTAAAATAAAAGCAGTAAGACAACACACTTGTGTTAAGGGTTCTGCCTAAAGACAGAATCACAAGCCATAGAATCTCCTGAGCTGGAAGGGATGCACCAGGACCATCAAAGTCCAACCCCAGGCCCTGCACAGGCACCCCAGAATCCCACCGTGTGCCTTGGAGCATTCTCTAAACACTCTTTGAGATCTGTCAGGCTTGGGGCTGTGACCTCTGGCCCAGGGGAGCTGTTCCAATGCCCAAACACCTTCTGAGGGAAGAACATTTTCCTAATGTCCATCCTAAACCTCCAAGTGCTTTAATGGCTGGGGTCCTTGTTGGCAGTGATTGTTCTGTTCACTGCCAAAGATCACTAATAGGAAACATCACAGCATGTTGTCTCAGTTCATTGCCCAGTCCTGCACACTTGTATTCCATTTTATATCTGTTCCAGTGGAAGGGAGCAAGTCAGGCTTGTTTGCCCCATTTCCTCATTGCCTCTGCAACCCCAAACTCAGATGTTGTTCTTATTGTGTAAAATCATACTAGCTGTGTTGTATTGATTTTAATCTGTCTATGTATTTAGTATGATTTTCTGAGGGGGAAAAATCTTGCTCAGCTCCTTGAAGGACACACATTCGCCTTGCAAAAAGAGAGCCAGTGGGGTAGATAAGGACAAAACACAGTGAGGGTGACTCAGGTGCAAAACACAGCTCCACCCTCTTCATTCTGTGCTGTTGCTTTTAAACCCCAGAATTTAATTTCTTACCACCCAGTGTGGGACTTAACAGTGTGTGAGGAGACTGGGGGGCACAGGCCAGTTCAGCCTCACTCAGCTCAAGGACCTGAGCAGCACTCAGCTGCTCTGGCCAGCCCCAGAGGGGTCAGTCATCACGTGGGACCTCCCAGGATTGGGCAGCAGATCCAGAGGAAACAGAACAATCCCATACTTCTAGTAGAGAGAACAAAAAGCATTTTTGGGTGAGCAGTATCCTTGACGTACTGAGAGGGAAGTCGAGTTTCTGCAAATGATAGCATGAAACCATTGTGCCTGAACCACAGAATTGTTGAGGTTAGAAAAATCAAGTCCAGTCAATGCAGCACCACCACCATATTCACCTCTAAACCATGTCCCTGAGCACCACATCCACATGTTTTTTGAACACTTCCAGGCATGGTGACTCCACACCCTGGGCAGCCTGTGCCAGTGCCTGACCACCCTTTCAGTGAAGAAATTTTTCCTAGTATCTGATCTAAACCTCCCCTGGCACTACTTGAGGCCAAGGTGAGAATGTTTGGTTTGATCTGATCTAATCTGTACTGAATCACAGCAAAAGCCACCACCTGATGTGTGCAGGTTGGGAACCTCCATTGGAAAACATCCCAGCTTGATCATTTGCCATGAGTCACATACAGCTGAAGCTAATTTTGTATTCTCCCATCAAAACCAAAGTGATTCTCTATTTTTGCCTCACTTTTATCCCCATGTGTCTCCTGTGTTTATACAGGGAAGGTGTTATTAAATGGCCTTGCAAGGGGTTCACATTGCTGGTTTTGTAAGGTGAAAGTATTTTGAGCTCTGATTTTAAGGATAATTTGACACTTGGAAAATGTTTCTGCAAAGCTTGAACATATCTATCATTCATTGCTTCTCTAGAATAGAAATAGAGAAATAGACATTTTATTGCTCCAAACCCAAAAGGGTTTGTTGGGTTTGATATACTTGTAAGCAGTAGAACCCTGTGATTTGGGATTAGTCATCTTGCTTCTTTAAAGACATGTCCGTGCTAGGCACTAGACATTAAAGCCAGGGAAAAAATGTTTCAGCAAAATCAAATGTAAAGCAGTTGTAACCAGAGCTGATCTGTGTTTTTCTTTCTCCCCTTTCCCCTACCCCTGCAGGCGTCCCAGAGGAGTTATCTCCACTCCGGTGATAAGAACTTTTGGAAGAGGTGGAAGGTACTATGGGCGAGGTTATAAAAGCCAGGGAGCAATTCAGGTAATGCAGCCAAGTGCCTGACTGCAGCACATTCTGCCTCACGGGCTGGGCTGGGCTGAGCTGAGCTGCACTGCACTCCAGACCAGCACAACTTGAACAGCTAAATGTGTTTCTTGTGGCACGTGGAGCTGTGAGCTGCACAGCAGTGGCAGGACAGGCTTGTATCACATCTCCCTGACAGCAAACTGGTTATAAGGACACGTGGAACAATGTATTTTAACATGAATCCTGCGCCTACACAGCACTAACCAGCCGTGGGAGTAGAAGAAAATTTAGGAAAATGAGAGAAATACAAAGCTGAAACAAATTAGCCAGTTCTGTTCCCGCCCCCACTCTTCCCCAGTTTCTTTTCTGGGACCATGGTCCAATCTCATGAAGGAAAACTAGTAACAGTGAAGGATCTTTGCTGCTTTAGGGCTCCAGATAGAAGAGCTCACTCTTACCCTCTTGGGAATGACAGAACAGCCTTTGTGCCTCCATGAGCATGCATGTTCCTTTCCAGTGACAACCTGTGAAGCATCCGTGGGTCATGACTTTTGTCTTTTCCATGGATCCTTCAGATATAGCTGAGGCAAGCTGCTGGTCCATAGGAAATGCCAGTTGCCTCAGAGCTCTGTTTTCCTCCCTTTTCCTTTGTTCTGGCTGCTGTGCAGTTTGGAATGTTGATGCAAGCTCCAGTGGTAATGGATAAATGAGCAGTAAATAGGTGGAAAAACTTTCACGATAAATATATCATATGGACATGCCCTTTGCCAGGGAGACCTGAGAGTAGAGGGGTGTTTGCAGGTGTCAGATGGTAAGAGAGGGAATATTCTCCAGTCGAGAACAAAGCAAATACTTCCAGTAAAACTTATTTTTCTAGGTGTAAAAATTCACATACTTCTCTTCCTTGTTAAGTTTTTGTACACAAACTATATATGTCTACAAATGGACCTGTGGATCTGAAACTTCAAACAGAAGAAAAACCACTGTGTTAATGATGGAGTATCTGATTTCTGAGTACCTTAAACTTTGCAACAGAGGAAAAACTGAAAAGTAGCTCTCACATATTCCAGGTGTACATATGGAAGTGTAGTTCAGGTAGTACTTACAGATGTCTTGACAGCCAGCGAGGTTGGGTATGGACATTTTTATTAACAATACATAATTTGGATGGCAAGTACTTGTGATCACAAGGACCTGTGTGTAAACTCTGCCTGGAGAAGAAAGAGAAATGGAATTTTCTGTGGAATGGTCCTGAGCTCATTGCATTCTGTGGTCATCAAGTACCTCTAGCTATGTTCCTTATACAGAAAAAGGAAAAAAAAGGTGATCTAAAATGCACATGGCAGGGAGAACTTGGAAACCTTAATGCATAACCTTGTGATAGCCAGTTGAGGCTAAGTGGTGCTGGTGTGTGCCCCTGCCTCACAGCCCTGCAGCTGTGCTCACCCCAGTGACATCCTCTCCAAGGGCTGGGAATCTGGCCCAAGGGAGTTGTTTGTATTTTTCAAACACACCAGATTGGCCTGTTTTGTCCCCACATGAGACCTTTCACTGTTGGTCTGGAAAGAAACAAAAGCATGTCCTGAAAGCTGAACTTAGTAACCCCTGTGAAGAGGCACACTGACACCTGTGATCAGTGTCCCTTGTGCTCGTGTGCCCGTCCTGTGCAATGGGACTGAGACTTGTTAGTGATTGTTTGGCTAATGAGAATGCTAGAGAACAGCAGTTCTGGCTCACGTACAAAATCCTTCTGTATCCCTCAGCAGCTCAGTACAGCCCTAACAATGCTGTTGTGGTATGTAAAAACTGAGGTTTTTATACTGTGGAGCTGTTTGCTGCTGCTTGAGGTGTATCAGGTGTCCCTGTTTTAAGCCATTTCATAGCAATTGACTTTGTAACCAGTGTGACAGGCCAGTACGCTGCTTCTTAGCAGCCCAGTCTCTTACTTTGAGTTGTTTAAAGCCTATTACATTTCTGGAACACTAAGATTCATTATAGATACTTAAAACCTAATGGTAATGCTGCATCAGTCTGGGTTTTACGGCTCTACTCAGTCTTGTAAAGATTTGGCTATATGCTTTACGTATGAAATCCCTCTCTAACCTCAGAAGCATATAGCCTAGTGCAGAGAATGCTGCATGGTGCTTCTGCACACCTTGAAACACTGTCTTGAACACAGTTGGGTTTGTGTTTGAGTGACATGTAATCCTGCCATTAAATCCCAGCACTCACGAGCCAAGCAGCAGAGTTGAGCTGTACACTGATTCTCAGTTTCACTGTTCCCAGGCATTTATGTAGCTCTGGTGATGTGACGTAAGTGAAACATTGAAGGTAGACGTTTGCCCCCAGGAGCATCAGAAGCTCTGGGGAATACCAAAAATCCTCCACTCTGTATATATGTGCTACTTCTTTCAGCAGTGCCTGATACTCAGTATTTGCTGTGACCCTGTGCCCTGCATGCTGCCTGTTGCTGCTGTCAGTGTATCAGACTGTGCGTTTACTGCATTTGTAGCAGTGGTTCTTCAGTAATTCTCTTCTTTTTTTAACAACTAGGGCAAACCTCCTTACGCTGCTTCAGCAGAAGAAGTAGCCAAAGAACTTAAGTCAAAATCCGAGGAATCTAAATCCTCACTTGTGTCTTCAGATGGATCCCTGGCTGAAAATGGAGTTGTGACTGAGGAAAAACCAGCTTCCCAGATGAATGGGAATACAGGAGACATCAGGGCTTCCAATCAGTCTGAAAGTGCCTTGAGTAATGACTCTAAAATGTGCAATACGAATCCTCACTTAAATGCACTAAATGCAGACAGTGTTTGCCATAAAGATGATGCTCTTGAGGCCACTGTCTTAAAAAAAGAAGAGTAAACTTATTTTTTATAGAGGGTGAAGGATGTTGGGAAGGGTAAGGATTAGGAATATCTGGAAAGAAAGAGAGCCTACAGTTACGTACATTTTTTCCTTTCCGTAAGAGAAAAATGAGGACTTTGGAAATTCGGATCCCTCTTTGATGTCAGAGATTTAAACAACACATTTTTTTAGTTTTAACCAGTTGTAGTCAAAATGCTACAATAAAACAAAAAAAAAAAAAAGA